CCCACCAATACAGTGTACCCCTTCTTTCTTTTTTTATTTTTCAATTGTATTTTTTTTATCGAGGTAACACTGGCATGTATCCCATATATGCTTTAGAGGCACGGTCACACCTCTTCAGATGTGTTCCCATACTGCACCACTGCCAGGATACCCCACCTTCTCTACCCCACCTTCAGACCCACTTTTTTTTTTTTTTAAAGATTTATTTATTTATTTACACAAGCACTGGGTACAGTCAGAAGCGCTGGAGGGTGAGAGAATTCACCAGAGCCAGAGCGGGGAGCAGAGCAGGCAGAAGGACCGAAGTACACTGCTGAGGGGAGCAGCAGGTGGCAGGAGAGGTCTGCGCGCCATGCGGGACCCTCCTCTGGTGGCCGGGGAGCAGCCGGGGATCGGAACTGGCGCAACAGAGGCCGAGGGCAGCTTCACAACCCAGCGCTCAACCGCTGCACCACCGGGGAGGCCCCAGACCCACTTTCTTTTACTGCTCTCCCCACCCTCTCATGATGGTGGCCTAGTTCTGAGGTCAGATTTCTAGTGTTCGTTTTGGTTTAGGTATTCCTGTTTCTTGGTTTTGTTTTTGTTCTTTCCACACATGAATGAAATCATGTGGTGTTTGTATTTCTCCTTCTGATTTGTATAGCTTAGCACAATCCTTTCCAGTTCTATCCCTGTTGTCACAAATGGCAAGATTTAATCTTTTTTTCTAGTAGCTGAGTAGTATTCCATTGTGTATCTATGTGACATCTTCCTAATCCACTCACCTGTCTTTGGGCCCGTAGGTTGTTTCTATAACACAGCTGTTGTTAGTGGTGTTGCAATGAACACAGGAGCGCATGTTTTCCTTTCAAATTAGTGTGTTTGCACTCTTGGGGCAGATACCTAGGAGCGTGACTGCTGGATCATGTGGTCAATCTATTTTTACTATTTTGAGAAACCCCGTATTTTTTCCATGGTGTGAACAAGTCTACACTCCCAATAACAAAGGGAAAAGAAGGTTTCTTTCCTTCACACCCTTCCCAGCACTTTTACTTCTAGTCTTTTTGAGAGGGGCCATTCTCACAGGTGTGAGGTGGTCATTCACTGTGGTTTTGACTTACACGTCCCTCATGAGTGACGATGAGCATTTTTTTCACATGCCTGTTGGCCACTTGTATGTCTTCCTTGGAGATGTATTTATCTCTTTTGCTCATTTAATATTAGATTATTTGTTTTCTTTTGGTTCATTTGTATGTGTTCTTTTTAGATCTTGGGATTGAATTGAAACTATACACTGCTTTGGGTAAGAATGTCCATTATAACTGTTAATTCTCCCAGTACACGAGTATGGAATCTCTTTTAGTTTTTTTGTCTTCTAGTTCTTTTAACAGTGTCTTACAATTTTTATTGTACACCCCCATCACCTCCTGTGTCAAGCTTATTACTAAATGTTTAATTCTTTTTGATGCAATAGTATGGGATTGATTTTAAAATTTCTTTCTCTTCTAGTACATAGTTTGCATGTTGGAATAAAACCAATTCTTGTATATGGATTCTGTGACCTGCCAGTTTCCTGTATTGATTTCTTGTTTACCATGACTAGAAGCCAAATTCCTTCTGCTGTCTTACAAAGCTCTGCTTGTCTAACAGTATCTGATTTCCTGCTTTCCACTCTTCCTTTTGCTCACCTGGTTCCCCACACTGACTGCCTTGTTGGTTTTGCACATACCATACATAACATAGGTAGATTCTTTGCAATGATGTTCCTTCTTCTTAGGATGCTGTTCCCTAGCAGGTCTGTATGACCAAGTCCCTGTTCCCTTCAATTTGTTGCTCAAAGGTCATCTACCCTTCACCCCGTTTAATGCTGTGATCTCCCTCCTCCTGCCCCATTCTGCTCTATTTTCCTTCTTCCTTTAGATCTTATACGATTCTAGGGTTCTCTATAACCACTAATTCACTGTCTGTAGTTAATCTAGTTCCGGTAGAATGTAGATTCACAGAGGACAGACAACCTAGTTTCATTCACTGCTATATCTTATCTGCCCACAAATATCTCCAGCGTACACTAGATGTTCAATAGATATTTGCCAGATTAATAAATTCATGGTCCATGAGAGTCTGGAAGTCTTTTAAGACCCTCCTTGGCAACCTGCAGGAGTCTTGCGGCTGCACATCTCTCCACGAGGTGGCAGTCCTTGCCTTTAGCCCAGCCAGGCCAGGCAGCCACATTTGAATAAACTGCTCAAGGAACCTGCCTGTTTTCTGTGAGCCAAGACAATCTGCCCGCAGGACTTGACAGTGAGAAAATTCATGGAATAAGTATGAGTGACCCATCAATGTATAAGTACTTTTAGGGGTGTGGACATAGAGTGTGAGGGTTTCCTGAGGGTGGGGGAGACAAGGGCCAGCATATTAGGAGGGTGACGGTGCTGCACGATGGGGACCTGATGTGTTATTTGGGGGACGAGTGTGGGTTAGAGAGTGGGGACAGCAGAGTTATGAAGCATGAAGTAGCCTGACAGTATAAAAGGGATTGAACCACCAAAAGATGGCTACTTGTCCACCTTTGTGCAAGACCTTGTCCTTCTTCCCCTCCCCCCTCTAGCCCAGTCACTTACCCATCACTGGGAACAGGGGTGTCCTCTTCGGGGGTAGCGCCCTCAAGGCCCCAGGCGGGGTCTCCGTGGATTTAGGCACTTGAATAAGGAGGGTCCTGGAGCCCTCAGTGTCTTTTCAGGCTTTAATGCTCTTTCTTTGCCCGTTGTTGGGGGCAAGGCTGAAGGCTGGCAAGGCAAGAGGCTGGGGGGATGGGGCCAAGAGGCCGGCAGGGCTTCTAGCCCCCAGTAAATCTTTGCTCTTTCTCTGTGGACTCTCTCTAGCGTCTCTCGGGGTCTCTTCCTCTCGTAGCTGCTCTGCTGTAGCCGCCCCTCCTTAGCCCTTCTCCTGTCTCTGAAGGACGCTGCCCTTATATCCTCGGCCTCCAGGCCCAGGTGTGCACACTTACGCCTGCCTACACCATGCTCCAGGTGTCCACCATCAGCCACACATGCCCACGCCCACGCTCCCAAGCGCCTCCTGCATTCAAGGCCTTAGGTGACAGCTGCAAGGGCCAGTAGCGTGAAAGCCGGACTCATTCACTCACCTTGCATCTGGTCTTCACCTTTCTGGGGCAGAGACAGCCCCTCTGCAGGGCTCAGGATCTTATGCTGGGAGGGACTGCCTCCCTCTGGGGAGCCAGCCATGATCCTACACCTCCTGCAGGGGGCAGCATTGTTCAGCAGTGAGCAGTGTGAGGCTGCTCTGCTGCTCACATAGTTGGCTTTGGTTTTCAGTTGCTCTCTGAGCTTCTGTAGCTCCAAATCAGGGATATGGCGGGATCCCCCTCCTCCCGCCCCCAAAAGCTAGTGTGAGATTTGAACAGGACAAGTGAAGCCCTTGGTACAGTCCTTTCCTCTTCCATCACTTCTCAACTTTGGCGCTGATGCCACCCTGGTCCAGACCACCATTGGCACTCACCGGGATTACTGGTCTACCTCCTCTGTCTTTTCCCTCCTTTGGACTAGGCTCAGCAGAACAGTCAGAAAAGTCAAAATCTCTGGACACCTGGAGACAACCTAACTGGTAGGTCAGAGGTAGAGAGAAGAGGCGAGAAATGAACAGGAGGGAATGACTCACTGGAGAATAGGTGAGTCTGTGGGGAGGTGCAGAGTGGTAGAAAGAGAAAGGACGTGCCCCTGATCTAGAACCCTAATATCTGTGATCAGTCTGGACTCATTGTCACTAACTGAGACAAAGGGAAGCTCTAGAGGACTAAGACTCCAGCTCTCCATGAAACATTCCTGTTAATATAATAGGTGAAGTCTTCCCCAAACTGCTCCTACAGCTTCTGCCTCTCAGTTTCTCAGAACTGGCAAGTTCTTTTCTGTTTCAGGGCCTTTGCACGGCCTCCCCTGCTGTGTGGTGCCCCCTCCTCATCACCGTCTCAGCGAGGAAGACCTCTCTGGGAGACCTTTCCTGACCACTCTCCCTAAAGTGGTCATTGATCCAGTCTTCTCCTCTTGTTCCCCCTCCATTCATTTCCTGCTTGCTTATTACCACAATCTGCACTTATTTTGTTCCCTTATTTGTTCATTTGTTTACTATCTGGTTATACAGAGAGTGAGCTCCACCAGGACAGGAGCCTTCTAGGGTCGGGAGAGAAATGTTCCTCACATCTCAGTGTTGTGTAGATTAGAGAAGATGAAATATATGAAGTAATCAGTGCTAGTCAATGCTTCCTCAATGTGATTTTCTGGGTAATTATGCTCCAAAAATCTGTTTGACAACAAGCGCTGGCGAGGATTTGGAGAACAGGAACTCTCCTACACTGCTGGTGGGAATGTAAACTAGTCCAGCCCTTGTTGAAAACAGTTGGGAGATGTCTCAAAGATTAATTATGGACCTGCCGTACAACCCGGTCATTCCACTCCTCAGCGTGTACCCAGAAAATTCAAAAATACTAATTCAAAAGGAAACTTGCTCTCCCATGTTGACTGAAGTGCTATTTACTATAGCTAACTTATAGAAAAAAGTTAAGTGCCTCAAACAGATGAATGGATCAAGAAGATGTGATGCATACACACAATGGAATATTATTCAGTGATCAAAAAGCATACACTCCTGACATTTGCAGCAACATGGGTAGAGCTACAAGGGGTAATGGTAAGTGAAACAAGTCATAAGGAGAAAGATAAATACTGGAAGGTGTCACTACAATTTGGAATACAGAGAAACTAAACTAAGTGTTAGATAAAGACAAGCTTAAAAACAAAGCTTGAAAGCTGACTTTACAACTGAAGCAGCCAGACAGGGAGAGACAGGGAGGTGAGAATAATGGGGAACTGGGCACAATGGACTCTGGGTGATTTGGTGGTGGGTATGCTATGGTGGGATTATCCAAAGATGACCTCCATTAAAAATAAAAAAGAATAAGTTTGAAATCTAATTACTCATGTATTTTTGTCTGTTTTATCTCACAGAGTAGATAAAGACTGCAAAAAGATAGCGGAGGCTTTCACGAATGCATTTATTTCTAAGGACCCTTGCCACGTTCGAGCAGAAGACTATCAACCCCTAATGGAGCTGGTGAATCAACAAGTACCTTGCGACAAGGTAATCAGGGTCATTGATGTCAAAACCCAGGATAAAGCCAGAAGCACAAGGTCACAGGACACATTTCGACTACGATGAGCAAAATAATGAATTCATTTCACATTGTGACCTAGAGCACACGCACACACGTACACATTGTGCACAAGGGCTCTCTCCCACCCTTCCACACCCAAGTAAGACACATGACCCTACCCGTACTGTATAGGATTTACTCTGAAAATTTCTATGCTTTTCTTTCACTTAAAAAATGAGGATTTTTAACAGAGGAGGGAAGAGCACAAGGGACTATGGTGAGGGTGCACGGGTGACTTCGTGGCGGGAGGTTTACCGGACTACACCTGAGAGGAAAAAGCATACATTGTACAGAAATGAAGAATGATGTATAAAATACATGAATAAAAAAATTGAAATTGTGGATATTAAAAATTTACTACATGTTTCTCAATGAGCGGTGTGTTTCTTCTTTCTTAGGTCCTTTTTTGGAGCAAAATAAAAGAACTGGCACATAGTCACCAGGGGGAGCTGCTCACCCTGGAGGACATGCTCCTGGGCCACATTGCTGATGGCCTCACGTGGTGTGGAGACATCAACACTTCTGGTGAGGGACTGACTGAGCCATTTGCAGCGTGAAGAAGCCCTGGCTCAGCCAGGGGCCCCCATCAATGTGCTGGAAGGAGTCCCAGGGATTTCGCCTTATACCAGTCACCCCTCATGACAGCTCAGGCTGGTGGAGCGTTGCCTGCTTTGACCCTCGAATGTTTTCTAGAAAAACTGACTTCGGGCCTTGGGGTGCCCCTGCTCCTTGAGTCTCTCCTCTTGGAGTATAGACACAGCTGGCTTCTGAATTGTTGGTGTTTTGCTTTCTATACGAGCAGCATTTAGGGCGAAAGGATTCCACAGCAGGGTGTGGACTCAGGGAAGGACCCAGGCCGAAGTCCTCCCTCCACAGGGCAGCTGCCGAGCCTCGGGGTGTGGACCCTTTGGATCTCCATCACTTTGCTGGGCATTAGCATTGGGAGAGGCACGGGATGGAAGAAAGACACTCAAAGTCCATTGAGAGAGAGAGAGAGAGACAGAGAGACAGAGACAGAGAGAGACAGAGAGAGACATGAAGAGAAGCTCACACCTCAGGAGGTGCAGCCCACCCCCCCAAACCGTCTCACATTTATGGGGTATCAGAGTCAGGGAAGGTGGGCAAGTCCGTGGAGGAATGTGGGTGGTGGGGAGGTGGATTGGGGATGCAGAAATGTCTGGCACGACTAGGGAGGAGTGACTAGGGCTCCATTTGAGCTGCTGATCAAACCTCCCTCTCTCTAGACCCTGTGACCCTTGACTTCCCGTCCAGGTGGTCGAGCTGGTTGTGCTCACCTGGCCATAATGTCCGCTGCTGTGTTCAGCAGATGCTGGATTTCCCGTATGTTCCTCATCCCAAGGCTTTTGTCCTGGTGAGGGGCCTCCTGCCTGACTCTACATTTTCGCTTGACCAGCAGGAACTCTGGGACCAAGACTACATCCCGAGAACAAGGGGGCTGGGGAATCCTTAAGTCTCAGCCACTATTCAGAGTCTTCATATCTTGCCCAGAAAGACGCAAACACCTTGATATGAGAAGGTGTTTTCTACTCAGGAAACCTTACTGAGGGCCACACCAGCCTCCCCTAGTGTGCTATGGGCCACCCCAACCCAAGTTTCTCTGATTTATTTGACTATACCAGATCATATGATCGCTGAAGGTGGGAACATTTATTGCTCTCTCTGTTCTTAGGACTAATGCAGTAAGTTTTTGTGCTGTCAAATGCAGTGGAGAAAATGCAAATGTATATATATTAGTAGTAGTACATATTAGACTATTATTTAGTCGTAAAGGAAGGAAATCCTGTCCTTCGTAACAGCGTGTATCAGCTTGGAGGGCATCATGCTAGTGAAACAAGACAGACAGAGAAAGATAAATACTGCATGACATCATATGTGAAGTCCAACAAAATAAAAAAGTTAAATTAGTAGAAACAGTCAAAACACAGCAGGGGCTGGAAGGTGGAGGGGCTAGGGAGAGGATGGTGTAAGAAACCAACTCTGCCTTACAGGATAAAGAAGGTCTGAGTGTCTAGTGTGCAGCGAGGTGATGACACTTGATAACACTGTGTTATGTGATTGAAATTTGCAAAGGGAGAAGGTCTTACATGTTCTCATGAAAAAAAAAAACACACATTTTAGGTGATGCATGTGCTAGTCAACTTGATGGGGAATCTTCTCACAATATATACAGATATCAAGTCATCAGGTTTTACAATCTAAATATATTATGACTTTATTTGTCTGTTATACATCAATAAAAAGAAAATAAGTGTTTGTCATTCATGCAAATATCCCAGGCTAAGCAACACAGAAACTGTGTTCTCTGCAGCAGCTCCCCATGGTGGGGGGCGGGGGGGGGGCGGTGTGTGGGAAAGCCCTCAAGAGTGTTGGCAGGAGACAGAGCAGCAGGTGGCCAGAGGCCCGTAGGGCCTAGTTTCACACCCAATTCTTCCTGGATGTGGATGAGCCTGGCGGCTGCTCTGTCAGGTGTTTTTGCTTAATTACCCAGCATGATGACTCAGAACTGGTCACTGTGTTGACCTGTGGTGCATGGAGGGCAAGGTAAGGATCTGGAAGGGATTTGGGGGCACTGAGTGAAACTGGGTGGAGATGTGTCCATTTTCCAACTCCTCCCTGGCAGTGGGAAAATGTCTCTGCCAGTGGAAGAGCCGGGGAAGAATGGAGCTAAATTGTACTCTTTTTCATTTCATTTAATTTCTATAAACTATGTCTTTTAGAAGTGAAGAGTGACTCTTGTCCAAAAAGGAATGAAACCTGCCCTCATCCTGCTACATCGGTATTCTGGGACGTGGCGTCCAAATGGGTAAGCACCAGCAGTGAAATTCTAGAATTCTGGAGACCCAAGAACTTAAAGGTCAATGGTTGGTTTTCTTTCTTTTTGGATCACGGTCCTTTTAGGAAAACCTATGTAGGATTCAATCTTTCCTGAGAAAGACTTTCATAAGCCTGTGCCAGAAGATTTTCACATATAGCTTTAGGGTTTCATGGCGGGTCCAGGCCCCCAGCTGAAGAGAATCCCTGGGCTCATCCATCTATTCTTTGAAACTCAGGCTGGTTTGATTTTCTGACCCAGGTGTTGACCAATTATGGATTCTGAAGAATCCTAAGAGTCCACATTTACAGACCACTTACCTGCCAGGCTCAGTCCTTGGCTGTCCCATGGATGCAAACCTTTCATTCTCACAAGAACCCTATGAAGTAGGTTCCATGCATATCACACGTGTTCTACAGGTGACAGCTTGGAGGTGCAGATAAGTTAACTATCTGCTAAAAGTAGAGGGTAAGCGACATATATTCGTCTTGGAGCAGGGAACACGGTAAAGGTGACCAAGGCCACTCTACTGTTACCAAGCAACCAGCTTCTTGCCCTATTGCTGGGGAGAATTGGGGTGTAGGTTGGGGACACAGTGGTGAAAGAATTCTGAGACAAAGCAGGGAACAGAAAGAGTTAAGGGATGAAACAAAGAGTTAAGGGAAGCAGCAGGTGAGGCAGAAGACTTGGTCTGCTCTACAGGGAGGGTCTCAGGGCGCTTTTCACACTCCAGGCATCACTGGCTGGGCAGGTGCTGTCTAGGATGTGTCCTGACTCATGACCTGGATCATGCATAAGGGATCAGTTTCCATGGCAGCCAGTCTGCTCCCTTTATTCACTCAAGCCTACCCCCTCACCCCCTACCTGCTTGCTGGGAATGACACTGGAACAGGAGCAGAGAGGGCCACAAGAGACACCATAGCGTCTCAGAGACCTCTAGAGAGCTTCCAAAAGCCCCAAAAGGTCAAAGAAGCCAAACCAAGAGTTGTAGAGTAACAAAGGACAGTGCCCGCTAAGAGGACAGTCACTGTCTGTCAGTCTCACCGGCGCACAACTAGAAGAGACCTGAGACTCCAGGAACCAGCTCTGGGTTGTTTATAAACAGGGGAGCACAGAGGTCGCTGGCCCCACAAGGGCGGCTGCTCACCTGGGTACCAACAACAAACAGTCTTGGAGGCGCCAGACTCAAGGCCTTGGGGCTCCTCTCAGACAGTGTCAGGGTTAGGCCCGAGGCCCTGGGTGACAGAGCCCTTCGGCGCTTCCCCCTCGGAGGGCTGCTGCTGGAGCTGCTTTTCCTCTTTCTTTGGCAGCTGGAACCATCTTCTTTTCTTCAGGGGCTGGTGTCGCCTCTCCTTGTTCTTCGGGGGCCCTGGTTGGAGTCTGACTGGACCATTTAGCACAAGTCAGCTCACAGCTCGCACCCGCTTGGGCCGTTACAGAGGGCAGAGACTGAGCTCTGAGGAGCAGCTGCCCCAACTGACTTGGGGGCAGCAGGCCGAAAGGACACGTGTGACTGTCCTGCCGGCTCCACCACTAAGGCAGCTGGTTCCGGTAACACCAACACCTGCCTGGTGTGTGGAGACCAGGTTATTACGACACCAGGATTTTGAGTAAAGGAAAAGTCTTTATGGAGTATCAGTTGGTAAGGAGACAGGAGATCAGCTCAAATCTGCCTCCCCCTTTCAGAAGGGGATGAAATTATAGAGGCTTTGGAGGTGTTTGTGTTAGAGCAACCCCGATATTAAACGGGTTCCTGGCTGTGGGTCCTCACCCGCGCGCTTTAAAGGGACTTATGAATACTCTACTACAGACACACGCAAAAGGGTTAATAAAAGGTTTATTTACAAGAGGAAAGGAAATAAGGAAAATGTACAACTCAGGGAGAAAATAGGGAAATAAAGTCTTTCATGTGTCCTACCCGATCCGACGACCTGGAAACCCAAAGTCACCCTCAGAGCTGGCCGGACGCTGCGAGCTGGCGGAGAGCCAAAATGGGGACCCCCAAAGCCCACGTGTCTGCCTTTTATCCACCTGGCTCCTTAACCCCACCCTCAGGTCCCAGCCACCTTCCCTTGGGTGGTGATGGGATTTGGAGTTCCCAGTGTCTTTGGATTTGGCCTGGGGTGGGGGTGGAGTCCACAAAGCCTGTATGGAATTTGCTTTGGGACAGCCTTTTCCCCCTAACATTTGGAGCAAAGATACCGTTTTATTGCCTGAAAAGCACGTTAGAGGCAAAGAAAGGTGGACTTGACTGAAGTTCCCTTACAACTGACTAATTCCAAGGCAGTTCATGTGTGAAGAGACTTTCCTTCAGACACTGGAATAAGATTTCTGTGGGGGGCCCCTGGCCTCTGGGCATCCCCTCCTCTGCATCTGCACGTGTGTTCTCCGGCTGGCCTGGCGCTCAGCTCCATGTCATTCCATAAGCCTCTAGGCTCTGCTGTGTCTAAAAAGTAAACCTCAGGGAGAGGCAGGTTTCTATAGATACACACAGACAGAATGTTCTAGGGCCTGAAATCCATCTAGTGACTTAACCTCAGTGACTCTGCCATGGAGAGATCCACCCCCCCTCTCCCCGGACTGCACCTTTATCTTGGCCAAGATCTCAGGGATGTGTGTCCATGACCTTCTTTCATCAGACTCCATCCTTCCGTGTCTGACATAGAGACAGTGTGGCTTGGTGGTTGAACCCAAGAGACATGACCTTGGGGAACATTGCCCTGGTACTTACTCTGTGGGACTCTTGCTATTTCTATATTGCGGGGCCCCTGCTCAGCTCCCTGACAGCACTCCACTGAGTTACCCCTGTGACTGGTGATCCCCGCGCCGCTGGCCTCTGCGCCTCACACCCAGAGGGAAGAGACACGCTGGGGTTTCATAATCCGTTTCAATTTCTCTCTACGGTGATTTACCACTTACAGGATAAAGGCGAAGCCCGTGACTAAACGTTCAGGAACCTGAATTCCATGAACTAACTTAGCTACTTGACTTCAGCATCCACTGAGGGGTCCCCCAAATCGCCCCTATTCTCTCAAGCCCCCTGACCTTTCTGTTGGCAGCTGCCTCCGTGACTCGGCGACATCCTGTTCATCCTTCGGGTCTTGGTCTTTGTTGCCCTCCATGACCTCTTCCTGCCCTTCCTCATCTCCCTCACAGGGAACTGCACTTCTGGCTCCTGGTTCCTTCCTTTTCCTCCCTCTGCTCCTGTGACAGAGTTTCCTGGGCGCCCCCTCTGCCAGGTGCTGCCCCAGTCACGGCCAGCAGGGGGTCCGGACTCTCAAGTGCTCCAGGTGCTGGTGGTTAAGCTCCTCACCACAGTAGGATGTTGTTAGGTCACATGGAGGGTGTGGGATGCTGCTGTCGTTCAGGGAAGGGACCTGAGCTGTCCCGGGGTCCTGGTGAGCCTCCTGGGAAGCATGTCAATGGCTTTGTTTTGTTCCTTTTGAATCCCCCAGGCCTAGCACAGCCGCCAGCTAAATGTTTGCTGCACGGTGAACTACAACTCCTGGCTTCATAATGGTCACCATGCATTTCTCTTTGGGCCTGTCCAGGGCTCAGTGTCACCTTCTCTCCTACCTCCCTCCTCTTGGCTCCCCCAATTCCCCATCGCTGAACTCCCACTAATGAAATGTGCAGTGTCTACACTGCAGGTCCCAGAAAGTGTTCTCTTCCTTCCCCAGTGAGTTCCCCTCAGTCTCTACACTTCCGGCTTCTGGACCCTAATTTAGCTCCCACGGGAACAATGACATTGACCTTCATTGTTCAGACACAAACTGGAGCCACTCCTTCCAGAATCCCCATGTGACGCGAAATTCCTCCAGTGTCTGGGCAGGACACTGACAGACCTGACTTCACTGAGCTAGACCCACGCGGGATATTTCATCTTTCAGCAGCTGAAGCTGAGAGCTGTTTTGGATGGAAGTATGGTGGGGATGTGCTGATGTTTGCATGCTGAGGGATGGTGAGGTTCTGTTTCGTTTTTCAGTTTGCAGAAAACACCTGTGGACAGGTTCGTGTGATACTCAATGGGTCCCTCAGTCATCCCTTCAGCAGGAACAGGTACACGATTTCTTGTCATCCTGTTTCTGTGGTCAGCATAGCCGCCTATTGGATAGTTCATCTCTAAGAGATTATGATTTTTGTGTTTAAAGTCAGAACAGAAAATGTGGGCTCAAAGAGTAAAACTTGTGTCTTCTATGGAGACCTTTGCCTTCCTTGTTGGTACTTTTGTTCAGTTGCTTATTTGCATCAGCCCTGAAGTGGTCCTTGCTGCGTGTCTCCTCCTCCTCCTGACCTTTGTGATTTTTTTCAATGTCTCTCATGACCTTCCATCTGTCCATTCCCCCTCTTTGTTCACACTGTTGCCCCCCACTTCACCTTTTCTAACTTCTCTGTCCCTGAAGATGTGATCTGACTTCTCTCTGCTCCATGAATAGTGTGTGAATCATTATTGATGTGCAGAATTGGCTTCTTGTTTTGAGAACTTTATTCAGAGGTCAAGCTGAATGAATAAAATGGGTGTTTCTAATGCAAATTATGTGTCAGGTTCAGAGAGTAGGTTCTAACCAGTGGCCTCCTGCCTGCTGTGCTTTGACAGGCACTAGGATGCCAGGTGTAGTCTGGGTTTGGGGCTAATGATGTTTTTTTTTTAAATTTATTTATTTATTTATTTATACAAGCACTGGGTACAGTCAGAAGCGCGGGAGGGTGAGAGAATTCACCAGAGCCAGAGCAGGGAGCAGAGCAGGCAGAAGGACCGAAGTACACTGCTGAGGGGAGCAGCGGGCGGCAGGAGAGGTCTGCGCGCCATGTGGGACCCTCCTCTGGTGGCCGGGGAGCAGCCGGGGATCGAACCGGCGCCGCCGAGGCTGGGGACAGCTTCACAACCCAGCGCTCAACAGCTGTGCCACCGGGGAGGCCCCTAATGATGGTTTTTGTCCCTTTTATCTCAGTACTTTTGGACGTGTGGAAGCCCCTAATTTGTCTTCAAATGTTTACAAACTACAAGCCTGGGTGATCCGTGAAGCACCTGCCAGGTATCTGTTGCTGCTTTGGACTCATTCATTCTCAGGGTGATTTTAGGAACTGAGCCATGAAAGAATCCCTAGTCACAAGAATGTCCTGGGAACAGACTGGGGCAGGGATGGATGGGGAGTCACTCTCCCCTCAACCCAGCCCAACCACTCTCTCTTCCTTTCGTCTCCATAATAGACACCCACCTAGTTCCCACGTTCTGCTCCCCTATAGCCTGCAAGCTCTTTACCCAGAGCCTGGCCCAGGTCCTGCCTGCTCCTTAGAAGAAATTAAGAGATTCAAGAAATGTCCGCGAGATCTTGTCATTTTAACACTTGCCTTTTTCTTTCCAGGGACTTGTGCTCAGGCTCTTCCATAAATGATCTGAAATTGGTTTTAAGAGAAAACATTGAATTTACTTGCAAGGATATGGACAGGTAATTGATTATTTTCTTGAGGCAGGAATGGCATCTTGGTATTTGTAGGCATTTTCTCTCTGCCCCCGTGAGTCAGGAGGGCTGCATGAGTCCCTCTTGGCCCTGGATGGTGATGGGGGATGAACTATCCTGATCTCCATCCCCTCCCACCGCCCTCCCAACCCCTTTCCACCTGTCTAACTATCCCAGGAGGGTTCCCAGCCACCCCATGCCACCTTTGTCCACCTCCTCATCCTTTCCTATCTGCCCCATCCCCCCTTTCTGGGGCAGGATGACGGGATCCCAGAACCCCCAAACGTGCCCACTCTAAATAGGTTCTGCCCTCTGCCATATCAAGACAAAGCATACATAAGGCCTGTAATGGAAAGGAACCCAAGTGCACATTGCTCCTACTCTGTTTCTTCAAAATACACTCCATCTCTATCTAGTAGTGCATTACTATACATAGAAATGTGTATCAATTTTTTTAAAGATTTATTTATTTATACAAGCACTGGGTACAGTCAGAAGCGCGGGAGGGTGAGAGAATTCACCAGAGCCAGAGCAGAGAGCAGAAGAGACAGACTGACGAAGTACACTGCTGAGGGGAGCAGCGGGCCGCAGGAGAGGTCTGCACGCCATGTGGGACCCTCATCCGGTAGCCGGGGATCGATCTGGCGCAGCAGAGGCTGCGGGAAGCTTTGCAATCCAGTGCTCAACTGCTGCGCCACTGGGGAGGCCCAAAATGTGTATCGATTTTATTGGTACATTGGATAGGAATATCTACATGTTTATGAGAAAGATGATTTTACCATCATGATTGCTGCCTTTACAAAATTGAATTGCCAATAAATTAGAAACTAATTAAGAAACATATTTATATTCTTTTCATTTAGAATAAAGCAAAAGTGGCTTCAAATATCCTGAATCATCTTAGACGCATTCCTTTCCCACAGTAGTGATTCCTTGAAGAATAGGATGCTTTCTCCCCCTCTATCCCTGAGTAAATTCTAGTGGGGGATCCCGGGCCACCACACTGGTGAGGACGGGGGATCCACACTTCAAGCCTCTGTGCCATTGGCCTTGGAATGGGCTAGAGACAGACCCGAGTGTTCAGAAGCCCGTGGGTGCTGGTCGCTGTTCTAAGGCTCCTTCTCTGCCTTCAGCTCAATCAGCCTGGACTCTCCTGTGATGAACCCCCTTGCTCCCCCTCTACCCCTCCTCCACTTGCCAGCCCCTCCCTCTGGGCCCTGGTGCTTTGTTTTCTTGTTTTCATGGAAATGAGAGTCACTCACCAGCTAGATGCTGCCTGGGGTTTGGTCTGTGCATAGGAGGTGAGGTCCTCTTGCTCCCAGCCTTCTCCAGAGTCTGGAAACACTGCAGCTTCTCAGGCTTTGGCTCCACATTCTCTCAAGAAGCTCCTGAGGAGAAGCGAGCAGGTCATCAACAGATAACTTGGGGTCCCTTGTCTCAGGGTGCTGCTTTTGCTGTCCTTGCTCATCAGGTAGCTGTGACGTGTGAGAGCCAGGTAATCATTTTTATCCCCCGCACTGTCATCAAACACCCCATTCGCAGTATTTATATTTCACTTTACAGCTCAATTAAAAAAAAAATTGGGACATACTTGAGTCAGTCACTCCTGACTCGATTGTTCTCTGTGTTTTCAGGAGATGGGGAGGGTGCTGCGTGGTCCATGAGTTTCTGTTACTAATGAAGGGGCTTCTTTCATTGACAAATTGAACCAGACCCTTTATTGAACTGCCTCTTGATCTCCATTTTTGTTTTCTTGTCACAGGGAGACGTTTCTTCAATGTGTGGAAAATCCTGAGGGCTCACAATGCAAATCTGTAGTATGAGACAGTGCCGTGATCGGTTCGGTTCTTTGCACTCTTGCTGTCCATCAACATGCCTGACTCAGGAGCCACACTGGGGGGGAGCTGAGGATTTGAGGGGTGCTACTGTCGTTGTGTCAACACCGAAGGAAGACTTGCTTCCCAGTCTTAACATAGTTTTTGTTTTGATGTCCTAATATTCAAGAAAAAAATCATTGTATAATTGCATAATGAAAATGTTTTGCTGAGTTATTTCATTTTAAATTTCATATGAAGGGTTTATGTTGTGTAACTGTTGGCAGCATCCTTTGTAAAAGTGAACCCATTTTTCAATATGGTGCATATTGGTACTGTCAAGTCAAGGAAGATGAATACCCAAGCTTTCCAGAAAATGTTACATTCCACATGAACGGCCTTGTATCCGGGTCCATTTGTGAACCGTTTAGGATCTATTGATAGTCAAACTATAAATGCCACGATTATGGTTATGCTGGGAAAAGTATTCCGTCGTGTATGAGCTACCCAGTGCGTGGTGCGTGACACAGTGAGATTGATATCATTATCTCCCACTTGCTAGATGAGAAAATGGAAGTTCAGAGAGATAATATCATTTGCCTAATGTCATACTTTAGTTCAAGAAAGAGGATGATTTTGAACTCGGGTCTGTGGGACTCCAAATCACATGTGCTCTCTGTTTTGAGGACTAAACCACAAAACTTAAGGTGCCTTTTGTTTTCCACCAATAAGTGCCTGCTAGGTTAAATACAATAAAATCTAGAATGTGATTTTTCTGAATGACTTGAAAACGTACGTTTCCCCTCTTTGTCCTCATGGCTATGACTCACAACTGCCTTTGGAATCTGGGATCTATTTTATCTGTACATCCCAGGTGAAAGGTAAGTTTACCCTTTCATTGCACATGCCGTGGCTGTTACAGCTTTCCAGCGCTAGGTGTTTCCAACAGAGGAGTTTAATGCAGGGATTTATTGTGCCCATAATAAAAGAGGTCAAGAAGCCAGATTGGGACAGAAGAGGACCAACAATGGGAGCAGCTATTGTTCTCAACTTTGCTGATTAGCACAGTAATCCTTTTGCTCTGCATCATTTGCTCTGTGGACAGGGAATCTGAGCAGGCTCCTGTGGAATGGCCCTTCTCTGCCCTCCTGTGGTTTCAGGTGGGGCTACTCACCTGGGGCTGGAGGATTCAAGATGGCCTCACTCACATGTCTGGTGCCTTAACAGAATGGTTTGAGCATCTGGGGAATGGTTGGGGTGACTGGGTCTCCTTCTTGTGGTGTTGGCTGGGATCACTCATAGGCAGGGAACCCAAGTTTTCCCCTGAGGTTCCTCTTTTGTCCACACCGATGTCCTGGACATTCCATGGTTGTCTGATTCCCTCTAGTGGAACAGAATCTATAGAGGGTATATAAGTCCAGGCCCAGAGACCCGACTGTCACCCTGACTGTGTCTGTCGTTCAACCCAAGCCACAAGCCAGTGCTGATCAGGATGGGAAATTGGCTCCATCTTCTTTTGGGAAGGGGGACATGATGGTCCTCTCTACAGATGCTCTACCCCAGAATCCAGTGGGTCAGCCATGCTGGTTTGTCAGCCATTGATTTGCCTCCAAGGCAAAGTCAACCTTTGCCACACTTTTTTTTTTTTTTACCAACTCGTCTTCTCCTGCTGTTGAAGCCCTGCAGAGTACCCCAGGCTATCTAGGGCAGGGCAGTGTCTTGAAGGGGAGAAGGGATAGTGAGAGAAAAAGGAATGAAGTAGAACTGAAAAGTAATTTTGACAGATTTTCCCCTTTAACCCTGGGAATGCAAACAGCCACGATTCCCTCTCTCCAGCACTATCTGTCCACTGCAAACAGCATTAATCAGCCATGACATTGTCTGCTGAAATCTATTCGTGTCCTTAGTGTTCTTGTCAGACAAGACTGGGCAACCTTTGCCAATTTAATGGTTTGGGAAAGAGCAGAAAGCTATCTGCCACACTGGTTCAACTAAAGAGGGTACAAGGACAAGTGACTATTTGAATCCACTCTACAGTTTGATACTGACCAGTCCAGCTTTCCTGATGGAGGCCTCTGCTTTGATTCTTTCCATCAGGCTAGCCCAGTGCTTTTAGTAGCCTGGTTTTTCACACATGTGTTTGGTTCTCACAATTCAGGTGAAATGAGGAAGCTGAGACTCAGTGGAGCTGAGCTCTCTGCCCAAATCTCAGAGCAGGATGAGGGTGATCCTCATCCCTCTCCTTCCAGACTCCACAGAGCCTCACACCATCTCGAGCTTTCAGAAGTGTAGACCTTGAAAGCTGAAGGGAGGCCGCAGGCCCAAGCCCTTTGTGTCACAGATTAGCCACCAGAAGCACAGCCAGGTCAATGTCTACCCAGTCATCCAGCCCCTCTGCGTAAGACAACCTCAGGGCTGGAGCCCAGGATTTCTGGCTCCCAGGCCATTGCCCTTAATTCGATTCCCTAGAGTGAGAACCTGACATGTGTGGTTATTACTATGTGGCTGAGGGGAGCAGGGAGGGAGGTGACAAGAGACACCCTGAGGAATCAGAAAGGAAGAGAAAAGGCCCCACCCAACTTCTACTCACATCTTGTCCTCAGCAAGAGGTTCCTTGGGCTAATCCCCCAGGAGCCCCAGCCCGGGGGGTCTCTTCGTCCTGTCCTGGGGAACACAGTGTCCACTGCCTCTGGGTTGCCGGGTGACCAGTCAGGTCTCAGGGTCCCTCACAGCACACTGGCCTGTGCCTTAATCAGATGCTGCTATTTTCAGTTCCACAGAAAAGAAGATGTGTTACTTAAAAAATTGCTTTTTAAAATACAAACGTAATAGTGACTACTCACTTGAAAAACTTAAACAATACAGAAAAATTCAGAAGGCAATTATTACTTTTTTTTAAAGATTTATTTATTTATTTATTTATATAAGCACTGGGTACAGTCAGAAGCGCGGGAGGGTGAGAGAATTTACCAGAGCCAGAGCGGGGAGCAGAGCAGGCAGAAGGACCGAAATACACTGCTGAGGGGAGCAGCGGGCGGCAGGAGAGGTCTGCGCGCCATGTGGGACCCTTGTCGGTGGCCCGGGATCGAACCTGTGCTGCAGAGGCTGCGGGCAGCTTAGTAGCCCAGTGCTCAACCGCTGCGCCACCAGGGGAGGCCCTAGAAGGCAATTAATGTCCTTATCTCTACGCAAAGTAGTAGACTTTTCTCTGCATATTCATAGACATTTTCATATTTTTATGGGGCTATATTTAAATGAGGAATGCAATCAAGGGCAGAATTGTTAAACTTTGTTGATAAAAAAAATAACAGCTGGTTATTTTACCCACGAAATGGATTTATTTGGGAAGAGCAGAAGTATTTGGAAAACGCAGGCCAAGGTGAAACATTGGCCAATCCAGAGAGGCAAAGGAAAGAAGCTTTTCTAGAGGAGAGGATGGAACTTGGGGGCTGTTCTAGATGAAAGTCCCTGGGAGGAGAGCGAGAGTCCAGGGGGTGGCAGCTTGTCCCTGGACGGGCTTCGGAGCTTCTGGTTGGTGGGATAGTGACTGGGCAGGATGAGTCTGTCTTTGTCCTTCCATTTGGAAGGGTGGGGACGTGCTCCTGCTGTTGGGTGTGCAGTGAAGCGCGTCTCTACAAGGTGGCTGTGCTAACGTGACAGAGCTCACACTACAGGCCTCCCCGCTCTGACTTTAGCTGAGGATCCTTGAGTCTGTCACTGGCTCTGCTCACAGTGAAGAGACTGCAGTGATTTTCAGCGCCATCAGTCTCGTGTCTGGGGGGGGGGGGGTGTCATGGGGGTTCGTTCCTGGTCTCTGTGCTTGTGTTTGAAAAACTGAAAATGACCCAAAAGCAAACGAGCCAAACAAACAAACAAAATCACACACAAAAAATGAACCAGCAACCGCTCCAGGTGAGGTGGCGGCTGCTCTGATGCCCTCACACACCCCAAGGCCTTTGGTGAAAGCTCTGGTGACTCACTGGGGCCCGCTAACTGTGAGGGAGCTTTGCTGTGGGCCTGGTGGTTCTCAGAGCTTCCCTTTCATGACTCCTTCAGCCACACTTTGCAATTGACAAGTTCATGCACCCCGTCCTCATTTTCAGGCAAGAAGGCTCCGTGGGCTAGAGCAGGAAAGGACCCGCGCAGATGCACATGGAGGAAAACCTGGAGCTGGACTGAAGCTCTGAGAAGTAGCTGGAACTTGTGCTCTCACCACCGTGCAGGTCCCCCCTCAACCTCTGCCCTGCAGGGAGGGACCTGGGCCGGCTGAGGGGTGCCTGTCCCGCTGCTCAGCTGCCCCCCACCCCGGCTGCTCATGTGCCCGTCTCTGCTCATCAGGGCCCACGACAGCAGCACGTCTTGTTTTCACACATCGCAGCAGTTCCCCTCTCTTCACAAAGGCGTGGGGGAGGTGACTGTCCAGGACCAGATGCACCGTTGCCCGTTTATAACTATGCTGAGGGGTTTCGGTGTCCTCCTGGGGCGTGGGGAATCTTGATGATGAAGACATCTTGACAAGGGAGATGTGTGACCATGTTTGTGCCTCAACTGTGCACTCATTCAACACATAGAGCTGTGTTCCTGTGGGTCCCTCACTGGACTGTGTGCCAGGACCACCCCCGGGAGCAGACAGAAGCCCAGGCCTCGTGGGGCTGCATCCCGGCAGGCGCGGAAGATGAGGAATAAAAAGCTTCGACGAGAAGGGGATGGTATTTTAGACGGCGACAGCTGTTGGAGAGAAAAGCAGCTGGAAAACAGCTGGAAGGTCTTGGGCCGGGGGTTGTGGTTTCACTGGGGCTGTCTGGCCAGGGGACACAGAGGTAACGTTTGAGGAATGATGTGAAGGAGTGGAGGGATCCATTCCTGCCAGGATCTGTGAAAAGTACATTCAAGGCAGAAGGAGCAGCAGAAGCAAAGGCCCTGGGGAGGCCACATGTGGGGAAGAGTGAGGAGCCCGGATCCGTGGGAGGGAAGAGGCGAGGCGAGGCTGGGTCTTGCGGGTCAGTGCACAGAATCCCCTGAACGAGATGGACAGCCCTCGGGCAGAGCCTGCTCCCCACAGCGCACTGACGCCCCAGACTCTGGCTGAGGCTGTAAGTCAAAGACAAGTCACCAGGAAGGTCAAGGGAGACCCTGTCAGAGTGTTGCGTGGCCACGGGCCACTGTCCGTGCTATCACGTCTTTGCTGTAATGTTGTATTCAATGCACACCCCACTCCTCTAAGACACTGCGACACTCATGAGCCTGCTGTTGTCTAAGTGTGACCGTCTCTGGGCTCAGGTACACCTAGGAGATCAGCAGGGGAAGCCCATTGGTGGGTGAGGTTTTTGGAAACTGGGAAGATCACAAAGGTTATCATCATTTCCATCGTGGAGATGAGTCGTGTGTGAGTCGCGTGCACACGTGTGTAGAGATCGCACATCCTGGTTGGGTCATGCCAGTTCCAGTGGGGATCATTTGTCCCTGTGAACACATTAAGAGCATCCCTGTCTGTTCAGGAAGAGAGGACCCGGACACGGAGCAGGGACGCAGAGTGAGAGGACCCAGCTGTCAGAGAGACCCGGCCCTGGCACAGCAGGGGAGTGCTGGTGAGGGGTCACCAAAGGCCCTCAGGGTCCCTGCCTTGCAGACAGGCACAGATCATTGGGCAGAGCCCTAGCAGGGAAGCCTTGATCTTGGAGTTCCCAGTTTCCAGGGTTGAAGAAAGAAATGCCTGTTCTTTATAAGCGATCCTGTCTGGGGATTGTTTGTGCAACCTTGGATGGACTGAAAGAGGAA